AAAAAGAAATTATTCAACAAGCCTAGTATGATCTCATCCACATGGGAGAACCTGTGGACATCACTTTCGTAGAGATCACACTGAATGGATCTGGACTTATCTAGACTGTATATGATCCCGTATGCTATGTTAGTATGTATAATAAGTGATGGGATCTGATTGTGCCTATGAGTGAGTTGCAATGCCATATAGATACACTCTGTCTGTGATTTGCCATGGTATAAGTACCTGAATAAAGTAATTTGCCATGTATCGCGATCGTACGATGTGTGTATTATGTAAATATAAGCTAGCCATGAATGTGGAATGGGGAGTCTATTGTTGATTATGCTGAGATAGTCTCTGAAATGCTGAATTGTCGTGTGTAGTGCTTGGGTGCATATTCAATCTACCAAAAAACAATGCCGCCGATGACTTGGATGGATCTGACTGGGCTGGATCAGAGAGGTCACGCTTGCCATAATATTGACCGCCAGCGATGGCACCTGCCATCAAGGTGGGTGCCATAGTCAGAATAGATGACCTAAAGGTGGCATTAGAATATTCACGGGGGGACAATGCTATGAGACTTACGTCTTCATTGTCTGCTGCATTGCTTCTGGATGTATCTTTGCCAGCCGACTTTTCGCAACAAACGATGATGATCGTAAGCGTCCTCCGCGAACACTCGCGAAAAACTTGAGGTTATCGCGAACAAGTGAAATCGCATGATTCCAGCCATCGGATTCAGGATCCTGAGTAGGGAGGAAAGATTTGCTTCGACCAAATAATCCTAGTGCCTTAAAAGCTCGTTCAAATGGGCCGTTGGGGAGCAGTCTAACCAAGACACCGAGTGGAAGTGATCCAAAGCCAAGCGCAAGCGATATTCCCCATTCACGGCCAGCGATCCTCGTGACTTGAAAGGCGTTCCCTCCAACGAAGACAATAAGGACCTGCACTGCAATTTCTGGCGGGGACATCAGGAAGTTGGGAATGGGGAATGGCAGATCACTTACCAATCAATGTGATCGCGATGAAGTAATAATTCTTCGAGATGCCCTCCCAGACGTTTAGCTTACGATCTAGTCTTCTGGAATTGATGGAGTTAAATATTTGTGCAAAAACGAAAGAGTTGAAAGCGACCGTTTGTACGACAGTCTGATTGTGCTGTGAATTGCTGAACCCGAGTATCTTAAGACCAAGAAAATGAAAAATGAGTGTGAAGGCGACCTGATATGTCGACTGGAATAATATCATTTTGTACATGTCGGTGGAAAATAAGGGCGCCGCTTTATGGTCAGGCTTGCGATCAAGTAAGGACTCCGACGCAGGATCTGTCGCTAGTGCCAGAGCAGCAAAGGTATCCATAATTATGTTGATCCACAGCAGTTGGACGGCAGTTAGAGCAGATTGTTCCGAAGCGGAAGCAACGGCAGTGACAAAGGTAACCACGACGGCTGTGACATTGGTGGAAATTTGAAACTGCAGAAACTTCCGTACTGCGTCATTTACGCATCGGCCCCAGATGATTGCCTTAACAATCGAAGCAAAGTTGTCATCCATGAGGATTATATCCGAAGCCTCCTTAGCGACTTCTGTGCCAGCAATACCCATGGAAAAGCCAACATTCGCTGTCTTGAGCGCTGGACCATCATTGGTACCATCTCCTGTGACACCAACGACGTGATCAAGTCGTTTAAGAGTTTCTACCAGGATCTTCTTGTCTTCAGGAGATGACCGAGCTAGAACCTGTAAACTGGGAACAATTTCCATACGTTCCGGGGCTGAAAGCTGACGGAACTTGGGTCCTTCCATAATGACTCCTCCAGGAGAATATATTCCACATTGAGAAGCGATTGACCTCGCGGTAAGAATATTGTCGCCAGTGCACATCTTTACGGAAACGCCTGCTTTATGGCATTTGAGGACTGCGTCCTGAACGCCCTCGCGTAAGGGATCTTCAATACCGACAATGCCTATGAGGGTGAGGTCAAACGCTAGCGCCTCGAACGGTATATTGCCGTATTCATCGGATTGCGTCTCTGCTGGGGGCCATTGCTGAAAATCTGCGTAGCAGAGGGCAATGGTTCGGAGGCTCTGATTGGCGTAATACATTATTGTCCTGTTGATGTTGTCTTCCGCTTGCTCTTCCATTGACTCAGTCTCAATATCAGACTGGTCGGTCGTATGCTGGGACTTGCGAACGACAACATATCTGACGCATTTCTTTGTAAGAATTTCGCTAGCCCCTTTCAAATGTAGGCGCCAACGGTCAGGCAATCTCAAAACAACCCCCATAGCCTTCCGTTCGCTCGAAAATGGGATCATTTGAACAATCTTCGCCGATTCTCTTATTGAACGAAAACTTGGCCAATTGAGCTCTTTCGCAAATTGCAGCAATGCCGTTTCTGTCTTGCTTCCAATAAAATCTGTTCTCCCTGTCACAGGATCGACGTCTTCAAAAGCTGTAGAGTTTGTGGCAATGGCCTCATTGAGTAATGTAATAAGTTGGGCAGGTAAAATGCTGTTCAACTCCGTATAAATGATCGAGAAATCCTCGGGAAACCTCCGGGTGCCCATGGAGACTTGTTGATCGCTAGCTGTGTTGGAGGATGATGTGTCGCTTGAAAGCTGCCGAACGAATTTCGCATGGACGCCAATGGAGCCAGCAACAACCATCATTTTATTCTGTGTCAAAGTGCCTGTTTTGTCAGTGCATATGACAGAAGCATTTGCCATGGTTTCGCAGGAGCCGAGAACGCGGACGAGGAGGTTCTCCTCGCTCATTCGTTTGGTGGCAAACGCCAGTGCCAGGGTCACCGCCAATGGCAAACCTTCCGGGACAGCAACAACAATCAGTGTTACAGATATGATGAGAATATTGACAAATGCAATGCCGTTCTGATTCGCATTGCTAGATCCAAGGTCAGATTGTTGTGAAGAACGGAACAAGAGATTGATACAGACCGTGGTGGATTGTGCTCACCAAGTTGAACGAAAAATCGGATCATCAGAGCTGAGAAAAGTGTAAGCCCAGCAATCGAGCCGATCTTAGCAATAAGCTCTGCAAGGTCATTCAGTTTCAGCTGGAGGGGAGTGTTTTCTGCATCTCCACGGAGAGCTGCGGGCGATGAGAAATGGCTCATTAGGACTCGAAGGAACCTTACCCATCATGATCCGGCCATTAAAACTCTTCGTACCTACTGCAACCACCACGTATCGTCCTACGCCCTCCAAAACCTTACTTCCACTGAGCACAAAACAATCGACGTGACCGAGATCAGTTTTTCCTTGGGATAGGCTTGCGTCATGCAATTTGACACATTCCTCGTAAGAGACCTTTTTAATCGCATCCGACTCGCCTGTTGCACCTGATTCGTCGCACCGTACGTTGTGGCCACTTAGAAAAACGCCATCGCAGGGCACGATTTCCCCTGGTTCCAACACCGCGATGTCCCCCACGACAACTTCCTAAAAACGACGGTGACTATTAGAATCCCGTAAATTACAAGGCCTCTACCTTGATGTCAATCAGTCTCTCAGTGCCGTCACGAAATACTTTAACACCACGCATATCCTTTTTCGCGTTCAATGACTGGAATTGCCGCTCCTTCTGCCAATCATTCAAAGAACCTACTACTACCTTAAACGCGGGATATTATTCAGAATCAGCCGAAATATGATACTCCTCGGTACTCACGACGATAACGATGGCTATTATGATCGCGACACCTTCGACCCAATCGACGGGTGGCTCGCCTTCTGGTCTCGGAGTTCCAAAATCCTGAAACAATCCTAGCGCCAAGGAAATAACCGCAGCAATTGATAATAATATCTGATTAAAAGGTAGGTTCTCAATCAAACAACATAGAAACGTGTAAAGCCTCACCAGAACTTTGTCGCCTAGTGCAGACCACATTAAATAGAGTAGAGATTTGCTTTGTCGATGAGGGAGAATATTTTCTCCATAGACACGCCGCCTATCTTCTAGACTAGCATAATGAATTGGACTGTCGGGATCGTCTAAATTCGTTCGGACTTGCCCTGAAGGGTCCGTAAGACTAAGCTGAGGTAAACCACTTGATGCGGTGGGTGTATCATGTCGATGGGAAGCATTCAAGGTCGCACCTCTTTCTGGTGGCTGTGTGGTAAGACCGTGGAATGGGTCTGTGCCTAGGCCTTGCAGGAGACTACTGGTTCCACCCAGTTGTGCTAACGTTTCAATATTCTTCGGATCAAGCATTTGAGCCAACATATTGGGATCAAACGGAAAGGGGGCAGTGTCTACATGTTGGTCCGAGGGTGGAGTAGTGACCGGGCCGAGGGCATTTGAACTGGGGTCGCCTTTCTCGCGAGGCGGCTCTGTCGATGAGGGAAACATGGGATATCCCCTCGAGTCGTTGACGTGGGTTGCTTCCGAAGTCGTTGATCCTAGTTGGGGCGACTTACCCTCCTGCCCAATACCGGGCTCAAGAAAATCCGTTACGCTGGCTTCGCGAGAAACTACGGAGCCTGGGTTTGAGTATGACCCATACTTGACGTCTGGTTGGTTGTACCGCAGCAAAGTAGAATTAGGAAAATGGGAAGACGAAAAGTCCGATATTGTTGGCGAGGGTGGGCAAGAGCCGTCTGTGGACTCAACAGTAGGAGATGCACGACCGTCACGAAAATTCGCATCCCGAGGCGACAATAGACTGGAATTGTTTGCTAAAGAGGATGGGGCATAGGTGCTAGCGTCGTCGACACCGTCGGGATGTTCGTCAAAAGCAGAAATAGAGTGAGAAAATTCGACAGTGATTTCTGGGATGCTCGCGGCATCGTCGGGGTCACGAAAAGACATGTCGAGGGCGTGGCTGTCTGCAATGCAGTTCGAGTTTGCAAAGGAATGTGTTACTTATAAGGTTAAATATAGAAATTGCTGTTGAGTTCCCGATCTGGAAATGCCACGCCAAGAACACGGCGTATAAGTAGTAGACTTGAGGCTATGTCGATATGAATGCTAGCTTGAGAAATTGACACGAGGCCTTGTAGTCTAGAGGTACGATACTTGCTTTGGGCTTACTTATACGCGATTGCAAGTGGCCTGGGTTCGATTCCCAGCAAGGCCCTTTTTATCTCCATAAAAGGAAAGGACCTGTTTTTAGGGGCCGATGTGAGACGACGCGCTTTGATTGTGTTGACAGCTTCGCTCTTGCCACATACCATGGCCTTCTTCAGCACCGCGTCAACGACGCCAGGTGTTCAGGGCACAACATCGACCGCTGCTGAGAAAGATGTCGAGGTCCCTGAGCCGCCGACAGATTCCATATCATCTCTCGCATTCTCAACGCAGGCAGATTACCTGGCTGTAGGAAGTTGGGACAACAGTGTACGTGTTTTCTCAAGGCTCAGCAAAAAAAACACCTTCATCTTTCAACTTTAGGTGCGAATCTATGAAGTGGGGGCTGGTGGCCAGACTCAAGGAAAGGCTATGTACCAGCACAGTGGGCCAGTATTAGGCGTATGCTGGAATAAGGTGCGTGTTATTCACGCATATGAACGCGTACTTCTAAGCATAATTCAGGAAGGTAACAAGGTTTTCTCCGGCGGCGCTGATAATGCTGGCCGCATGCTTGACATTACAACTGGGCAATCAACTCAAGTCGCTCAACACGAAGGACCAGTGAAAGTGGTAAAGTGGATCGATGCTCCCCAGGCTGGCATTCTCGTTACAGGTAGTTGGGATAAAACTCTCAAGGTATGTAGTACAGAGGTCTTCGTATGACTGGTTTCAATCTGCCTTCTAGTATTGGGACCTCCGTTCATCTGCGCCCATTGCAAGCGTCCAACTTCCAGAGCGCTGTTATACTCTTGATGTTCAATATCCGCTCATGGTCGTTGGTACTGCCGAAAGGCACATACAAATTTACAACTTGACTAACCCAGGCGCTCCTTACAAGGTAACTGAAGGTTGAAATATTTCAAGCTCGTTATGCCTACCCCTTCATAGACCATGCAATCTCCCCTCAAGTGGCAGACGCGGGTTGTTTCTTGTTTTACCGCTTCACCGAACAGCGGCTTTGCAGTGGGCAGCGTAGAGGGAAGAGTGGCCATTCAGTTAGTTTCACTTTCGCGATCTTCCACTCGACTTAATCCCTTTTGCAAAGATATATCGAAGATAAGGATAGCTCGTATGCCACCGTCATGTTTTCATCGTACATCTACTGATCATTTGCCCAGAAACAACTTCTCATTCAAATGTCACAGACGGGATTCAACGCCAAACTCAAAAGACCAGGCCCTTGTCTACGCTGTGAACGATATATCTTTCCATCCTGTTCATGGCACCTTTTCGACCTGCGGTTCGTATGTTCTTAACAATACGGACATCTCTGATTGTCTTTCAGGTTCTGATGGCACTATTCACTTCTGGGACAAGGATGCCCGCACTCGGTTAAAAAGTAGGTGACAATGCATTCTGTTCTGATTGAGCCTTAGAAACTGTATTTCTAGCCTTCGATCCAGTCCCCGCTCCAATCACAACCACAGCATTTAATCGCAACGGAACGGTGTTTGCGTATGCTGTCTCATACGATTGGTCCAAAGGACATTCCGGAATGTCACCTGGAATGACGAATAAGCTTATGTTACATGCATGCAAAGACGATGAAGTCAAAAAGAGAGCTAGGAAACAATGAAACCATCGTATCGACAATGTCTTTTTTCTTCATGTTCAATGCATTCGATTTGTTGGCTCCCTTACATATGTAAATACAAAGGTTTTTCTTGAGTGCACCAAATATTAATGCCGCGCCTCGCAAATCAATAAATCAATGGTAGTTCAAGGTCAAGGACGTCGGTTATACATATCATTGAAGAAGTTATTGCAGACCATTGCACTTTTCATACAGACCAATTTGCCAAGCTCGGCGGTGACTATCCCACATTGCAAAAAGGTATCTAAACAGGTATCCAATCCCACCCAATCCATGGGCGTTAAAAAATTAAGCTGGTCATTGTGTTTTAGTCCTTGTTCTTGCTCGGGTATTGCGTCGTGGGGCCTCGTCTTCGTTTTCTTCAACTTTAATCCGTGTCGTGGCCGTGTTCTTGGACGTTGGGGGGACCTGAGATCCCGTTGCCTTCCTGTTCCTAGTCATCTTGACTCTTACGCCCTCCTCGGGCACTGCCTTAGTGCGGCGCTTGTCCCGATTTCCTGGCTCATCCACCACTGAAACACCTGACGGTGCAGTCGCAGGAGTTCTCCTGCCGCTTGCGCGCGTCACTGGCGTTTTTGTCGCAGCGAGAGACCTTCTCCCATCAATGTTGTCAACGGCGGTCGTCGCGGATCTAACCCTGCTATTCTTCACAGCCACAGGAATATCTGGTTCTTCCTTCACTTTTCGAGGTCTTCCTTTCCCTTTTGGTGTTGCTGCCCGCGCCCTGCGGGCAGTGGTAGCTCTTGCCTGACGGTCAAGACTATTCAAAGGCTCCTCTCCACTGTCACTGGTCATTTCTATCGGTTTGGGCCTACTGGTAGAGGCTACCGTACGTGTGCGCCTCGCTGGTGCTGATGCGGCAGCGCGAAGGGGACGCCCTCTTTTCGCCCTTGGTGCAGGTATTGAACGCACCTCACGACCTTCTTCCTCGGTTTCCTGCTGGTCAACTACGTAGCCGTCCTCCGGCTCTAGTTCCTGGACATTGATAGCCGTTTCACTGATAATTCCCCGTCCTCTGGTAGGCGTTCTAATTGCCGTTCCAGACTCAGACCGCTGGGCCGAGTTTTCTTCAGATCCATCTTCACTGTCGTCATTACCACTAGCATGGTCAATTGACACCATGGGTGCGATTTGACTACTCGGGCCTCGTCTGTTAGTGGGCAACGCTAGCTCTGGCTCGGCGGAGGCGTTCCGACCACGGGTTCGCGTACCGATTCGTGCCGTATGAGTGCTGGCAACGGGAACCTCGGAGGACGTAGGTTCGTTAACAAAATCGGATGGTATGGTGATGTCCTGCTCAAGGATGTCTCGAATATCATCACTTGACCTTTCTATGTCTACAGGAGATTCCGGTCTCATCAATTGAGAGAAAGACTTCTGTATTATTATCAGCCCAAATGTTTACTTCGAAAAAATCACGTTCACATACTTCAACAATGTCATCATCAATTTCTTCTGAGGACTCCGTGCTAGTTTCTCTTGTTCCCGCCTTCGTGTCCTTTCTAATAATCAACCTCCTTTGCTCTGAGCTCCTCCCTAGGTTGGAGGAAGGTTTTTCTCTTGCGCCTTCACTCTTCTGGGTCGCCAGCTCAGTTTTCCCCCACAATTCATCGTCTTCGTCGATTCCTGTACTCGCAGGAAGACTAAACTCTGTCACGGAGAGTTTTCCCTTTTCTACGTCAGGAACCACTTGGGGAACCAGCAACGTACTCCTCCTTCTCTTCATTTCTTCAACCGTGACTTTCATTCTTTCCAGTAAACACCTGGTGTCAACCTCATCGTCATCATCCTCTTCCTTTGTGTCTGGCTTTTCCTGAAATATTGAGCGCTTATCTTCTTGATCATCTTGAGAAAATGGGAGTCTCCTTGGCGTAACAGATGGATCACGACTTTGCTTGACTGGGCTAGTGCTGCTCTTCGTTGGTGACACCCCCATTCCCGGTATGCCTCCTACAAAAAATGTGTCTGCATCACGCAATGCGCTACGCCTACGTTCTTGAATGGCCTAGTCAGGCGATGCATTTCTTGAGCAATAAATCACTGATGACAATGCAGGAGCAATCACCTTTCGTTCCTGGTCGTCTAACATTCTCCTTGTTTGTTTCGGCGTAACTTGGCCAGATGCGCGTGGCGTTCTCGCTGATGCATGCGAATGGTCCTCTAGTTCACCTAAATATGACGTGTGATAGTGTTGCTCTGCCTTGGGAGGAATAATTAAGTCTTTCACGCGCCACGGCATCTCGACCAGCATACGTCGCGGTTCGCCGCCTCCAACGGAGAATCTCATGCCTTTGGATTCAGTCATCACGGAACCTTCTGATTCAATAGAGGCTTCGTTCCGAGGGTCCTGAGGGTCGAAAAGGTTCCGTGCTAGTGATACAATTTCCGGGGGGTGCCGTCTGGATCGTGGTTGAGGCGTCAAAAAGGCACCAAAGTTCTTGTTCATCGCAATTTTCGGGGATTGAACGGTTGGATCTTCATTCTCTAAATTTCTGTCACCATCCCCATATTTTTGTGGTGTAGAATACGTGATGAGACGTTCATCATGTCTTGGTGTCTTGTTGTCGTCGAATTGCACATTCTTGTAAAAAAAGAATATGTTACTTTAATCATCAGTCACAGGATCAATTAACATACCTGGCTAGCATCACCCTCCGGCTTCGACAATACGCTCTGAAATCTCCAGGTCGGATCAGCCCTCCCCCTGGGTTTTGCTCGTTCAATTGTAGAGGTTTTCATATCATGGTCATCCGCATCCATAACGAGATCACTATGAACATTCTCATCGATAAAATTTTCATCCGGCTGTTCATGTTCATGCATGTCATCTAATCGGAAATCTTCGTCACTTGCTACTGCGCTGAGCACCTCTATCTCCTCCATTTCATCCTCTTGTTCTTTTTCAGCTCGCAGCACAGCCCGCTGTACACTGCGCATGAGGACTGCCCTATGTAAACTGTTCCTTGAGTTAGAGCGGGCCCGAGAAGGTGTTTGTGGTAGCTGTGTTGAGAAAGGTTGAGCATGATGTTGTGCGATGGAGAAGGGGGAAGCAGGATCGCTTGATATGGAGGATACTTTGACGTCCTCAAGAATTACGAGGTCTTTTTCCTCCTCAACGACTTGAGGGTGGTTCCCTTCAACGAGGATAATATCCTCGTCATCGACTTCCTCTTCAAGATCCGTCAAGCTAGGCTGAGGTACGTTACTTAATGGCTGCCTAACCGGACTCGAACTTCTTGAGCTGCTACCGTGTGATAGAAGGGATGGTTTGAGGGGCGAACGAAGAAAGTTGTTCCTTAGTGGGCTTTGCAGCACACGCAAGTTCTCTTCAGAATTTCGGGAAGGCCGAGGTGAAAATACTTGGGCTGAATTTATCATAGACAGACGTGGGGCTCGGTTGATTCCTAATAAAT